TTATTTATTTATTTATTTATTTATTTATTTTGCATCAAAGAAGGTAAAATTCACCTGGCATCAAAATAAACTTGGTGTTTTGAAAGCCTGTAATATCCATGCTATGCTTAGATAAATCATTTCCCGAAATGATTAGAAAGTGAATGCAGCTGGCTTAATGTCCTTTTTAAAGTATCTCTCATAGTTGAGAGCAAGATATAAGTAATTCAGTTGTTAAGTGAATTTTCCCCATTTTACAGCCTTTCTTGTCACAGTTGTTAAGTGAATCACTGCAGTTGTTAAGTTAGTAACATGCTTGTTAAGTGAAACTGGCTTCCCCATTGATTTTGCACTGCTGGGCCTTTTGATTTACTTAGGATACTTCAGAGGGCTTTAGCTGGTTCATGGTGTGAACTATGTGATGCTATGTGGTTGTAATTGTCTGTTGGTGATTTCTGAGATGTTGTCAATGTATGGTAGTATTATCCTTTTCAAAGGTTTTTTTGATTATGCTGTAGTAGCTTGAGCAGTCAGGCAATTTTTGATAAAGTAGTATGTGTATTAGGGGATGTGGTGGTTCAGTGGCTAACATGCTGAGATTGTCAATCAGAAGGTCAACACTTCAGCTGTTCAAGTGTCTAGTGCCGCATAATGGAGTGAGCTCCCGTTACTTCTCCCAGCTTCTGCCAAACTAGCAGTTTGAAAGCATGTAAAAAATGCAAGTAGAAAAATAGGGACCATCTTGGTGGGAAGGTAACAACGTTCCATGAGCCTTCTGCATTTAGTCATGCCGGCCACATGACCCCAGAGATGTCTTCGGACAGCACTGGCTCTTCGGCTTAGAAACTGAGATGAGCACTGCCCCTAGAGCTTGCAATGACTACCACATGTGTGCGGGAGAACCATTACCTTTACCTTGGTATGAATGTGATGATCTGTTTCCTAAATAAACAATGCATATACATGTTCTGTACAACAAAACAATTTCAATGGTAAAACAATGGTAATTTAATGGGGAGGGAGGAAAAATCTCAGATCGCAACCCAGATTATTGGTTCTCTTGTGGATTCTAGGGACTCATGCCTTGAATCAACATATCATTCCTTTTTGTGCGATAGGAGTTTTATTTAATATTTGCTAGATATGATATTATGATTTTCTTTAGTTTGTTTTTTGTATTAGAACTTTTACATATTGTTCTGAGCTTCAGTCTTCTGAATGTTGTCAAATCTAGAGGCATCTATATTTCATTGAGATCTGCTTTCCTGAACACAGGAAATTGAGTGTTTCTCAATTTTGCAGCATATTTCTATATCTGTTAGTTGAGCATAAAGTGGTAAAATGCTGCAAAGCAATGTTTCAAATGGTTATTACTACTTACAAGCTTTCTAGAAGAACCATAATGTCATAATATTTCTCTGTCAAGAAGCAAACTCCTTTTCAGAACTGATTTCTTCCCTTGTCTGTTTTCATCAGCAAGTTTGCAATTTCAGATATATGAGGGTATATGGAATATTTGAGAATGATGCTGGAGAAACCTATCTATAATAGAATACAATATTATAATATGCCAGTTTAAATTTAGGTATCAATTATTATGGCAAACCTTTAACATAATTGAAAGTAGGGTGACAAAAATGTAGAAGACATGAAACATTTCAGCATATGCTTTGATTTCCCCAGTCCTTCAAAAATGTATAGGGTATTCAGATAGATGATAGATAGATAGATAGATAGATAGATAGATAGATAGATAGATAGATAGATAGATAGATAGATNTGTGTATTGCTTTAGATTTGTCAATAGGAAATTATAACTTGATTATGCTTGTGTCAGGGTTCCAAATAGCATCCAAAATTAAATCAGAGTCCAAGACAAAAGTATTGCTCAAAGTTCCAATTTATAAAGAGAGCCATGCTGGCACATCTGGGAAAACCCAAATCTGAAAGCTTCCCAGTTTTCCCCACCCAATTGAAAGTTCACGATCTTGCCCCCACACCCACAAGTCTATCACATGGTCCAATCTTCCACTGCCATGCTGGCAGTTCCATCCATCCAGTTACGGTTAGGTGCAGAGGTACAGAGACAAAAGGATGACCTTGGTTTTCTAGAAAGAATTTTGTTATGGCTACATAGCATCTAACTCTGTACAATTGCTCCTCCCATTTTCCCACAATAGAAATACATAGTAGAATAATAGAAAATGTGGCAGGCCAAAGATCCGAAAGGAATATGGCTGCAGGCCTGACAGCTTGTTTGGACTGGCAACAAATATTGTAGCAATAGCAATAGACATATATTGTTTCAAAGGAGTTTACAGCCCTGGTTTTTACAGAGTCAGAACACTGCTCTGGGTCCTCAAATGTGGGTATCCCTAAGATGTAAACTCCAAAGGGCCTGAAATATGACTCTGGATATGCTACTCAGTCAGAGGGAATATCAAGGTAGCATCCCTGGCCATGTGATTTAATCTCCACCCACTCATTAAAAGGGGGTGAAGCTTTGATTGTGGCTTCCTTGTGACTGTCACCTTGCCTTTCTTCACCCTCATCGCATCTTGTAGATATCCTTGGTGTATATTGTATATTGTGTGTAGTATATTGTACATAGGCAGCATATTGTGTTTATTTCAACAACAATCCTAGAACACATTGTTTACTGCAGGCACATGCAATAAGCTCAGGGATTACCAGGAATTGAGGCAGCCATGCTGAATTTTTCAGACAACATAGAACTTTGATGATTCAGCACCCAACTTGAGAAATGTATTTCGGTCGCTTAACAAGTCTTCCTAAAAATGGTTCAACCCTAGTGATATCTTAGAGAGCCAGTTTGTTGTAATAACAAACTAGAAACTGATTTAACATCAGTTCTAGTTTTGCCTCTGTCATAAACACAGCTGGGTGACCATGGGCCAGTCACTCTCTGTCAGCCCTAGGAAGCAGACAAGGGCAAACTACTTCCAAAATCTTGCCAAGAAAACTTCAAACTAAAGCTAGTTGAATAGTCACCTCAAAACAAAATAAAATCTTATATATCAATGGAGATTCTCAGTTATCCAGGCCATGGTTGTCCCAAAGGTGCTTTTTCAAGAGGTGACCCTGAGAAAACAGATAATCCTTCCCCCCAAGTGGTCTCAACAGCTCTCTAAAAGATTGCAAATGACCAGCAATCTGCAAGGAATATAAATCTTTCCATTCCCCACCATCCAGTCAGACCCGAAGAAGCTTCTTGGATGAGAAGTGAAACATCTTCAAAGAAATACAAGAAAGTCCAGTTGCCTCTTGAAAAAGCACCTTTGGGACACCACCTGTATATTTTAGCCAAATTATTTCAAGGAAAACATTTATTAAAATGATGTGCTCAAAGAAATACCCGAAAAAGGATGATCTATAAATATAATTTGCAAAAGTTATTTCAGTTGGCAATATTTCACATACTCCTAGGATTTTTCCTCTAAGCTTAGCTTCTAGATTGGGAGAACCCTTGTGAGTTCACCACATGACTTCCCGCATTATACAGTCCACTTGTAAAACAGCATAAAGGGGTATAAATAAAGTGACTAAACACTATCACCATAGAAGTGAAATTGATGTATTGCACATTTGAGAGGCAAAATGCATGTGTTTAAAGTTGTTCGGAAACTTATGGACTTCTATATGCTATAGTAATATTTGCCATGATTTAGAACAGTGATGGAATAAAGGAATACACTCTGCTCATCATTAGTATTTGAAAAAATGTAATTGGAATAGGACTTTGAAGGACCTAGAAAACAAGATTATTATTTTTTTCAAACAGTAAGTTTAACAATTTTCTGAGCATGCAGTCTTTGATTATATTTTATGTCTCTGTGTGCTTCTCCAACTTAGATTCCAGACAGAACTCAATTACGATGTTCTTGAAGTACATGATGGACCAAATCTTTTGTCACCACTTCTTGGATCTTACAATGGTACACAAGTCCCTCAATTTTTATTCAGTAGCAGCAATTTCATTTATCTCTTGTTTACAACAGATAATAGTCGATCTAATAACGGATTCAAAATCCACTATGAAAGTAAGTAATTTTTTGTCCATATTCTTTGGCAAACATACTGTGTATTATTGTTCCCTGACTACATGAAATAAATACTGATATAAATATATTGCATAGTCTTAGCTATCACTTTCCCTCGGTGCTTACAGGTTGTGGTCATAAGTCATACATAAACCAGGGAGATTTAGACCCTGATACCAATATATTTACTAATCATAAATATGAAAGATTGTTTCTTGACTCCTGTAACCTTTAAGGTGGATGCTGAGCTCCTGGTTTGCTATATATTAGCCAAGTAATGATATAGGTCTCCAGTTACAATATCCTAGTTATCAGCATTTCCCTCAGGCATTTCTAATTCAGATATTTGAGTTGTAAAAAATGGACTGAATCAGCAATATTTATGCGAGATGGAAAAGTGTAAATGCACAAATTACAACCTATGAGTAAAAGGAGATCTGGAAAATGTTTACTAGAGTGGAGTGTTGGGTCAGAACATTGACTGTCTTTTCAAACATAGCAATCAAGATTGTAGGGAAATGAACCCTAAATTTTCTCCACTGATGACCAGGATAGGAAGTATCAAATAATGACAGCTTTCAAAGCATGGAATTGAAAGAATGGAAAGGTTGAAAGTTATCATGAATATCTCTATATTCATAATAACTTTCAACCTTTCCATTCTTTCAGTTCCATGCTTTGAAAGCTGTCATTATTTGGTACTTCCACTCTCTACTTCAGAGTGATGAAGGTAATACTGCTACACTGTCAAAACTGACCCCCCCCCTTTAACTTAAAAAAAAAAAAAAAGTGTTGATATACAACTGGGATAATTATAAAGTTCCAGCTCAGGTCTTAGTGGCTTCCAAAGTCCATAGAATAGACTAACACTTTGATAGTCATGTCTTAGACATTCCTTCATTTTAAAATCTTCCTGAAAATGTATTACCATATTTTTCGGACTATAAGATGCACCAGAATATAAGATGCATCAAGATTTTAAAGAGGTAAATTTAAAAAACAAATTGTCCTCCCCAGCCCCCAGGAGCATTCTTCAGGCCTCCCAAACCCTTTGCACACTTTGTGGAGGCATGGGAAGGGCAAAAGAAACAAAAAATTGGGAGTTTGGAAGGCCTGCAGAGTGCTCCTAGCAGCTGGGGAGGGCAAAAACCACCCCATTTTTGAAAAACAACAGGCCCATTTTTCACTCGTTTTCACTCGTTTCTGTCCTCCCCAGCCCCCAGGAGCACTTTGCAGGCTTCCCAAACCCTCTGTGTGTCAATTTTTATGAAAAATGAAATTCATGGGACGGGATTTCAGGAGGCCAAAAATGCATCTTATACTCCAAAAAATATGGTATATACTGGTAATCCTTGACTTACAATCATCCGTTGTAATTTAAAACAATGTTGAAAAAAGTAACTTCTGAACTGAGCTCCCATTTCTGACCACAGCATCCTTACAGTCATGTGATCAAAATCCAGGTTCTTGGCAACTGGCATGTACAAAGATTGTAGCATCCTGGGTTTATGTGATTGCCATCTGTGGCCTTCCCAGCCAGCTTCCTTCAAGCAAAGTGAATGGGGGACTTGGAAGTCTCTTAATGACCATATGATTAACTTAATAACCGTAGTGGGGGGGAAAAAGGTTCATAAAATTGGATGCAACTCACAACAATGACCTTGCTTAGCAAGAGAAATTCTGGTCCTAACTGTGTTCATAAGTCAAGGACTATCTCTATGTAGTTAAATGCTTCATTTAATAAATAACAAAATAACAGAGTTGGAAGAGACCTGTTTCTAGTACAACCCCCTGCTCAATCGGGAAACCCTATACCATTTCAGACAAATGGGTGTCCAATCTCTTCTTAAAAACTCCAGTGTTGAAGAAAAACAGAACTTCTGGAGGCAAATCGTTCTACTAGTTTATGGTTCTCACTGTCGGGAAATTTCTCCTTAGTTCTAAGTTGCTTCTCTCCTTGACTAGTTTCCCTTCATTGCTTCTTGTCTTGCCTTCAGGTACTTGGAGAATAGGTTGACTCCCTCTTCTTTGGGGCAGCCCTTGAGCTATTGGAACACAGCTATCATGTCACATCATACTATCTTGTGGTTAATTTATTGTATATTTCTTTCTTTTTTCCTGAACTTCAGGTGTAATGGTTAATACCTACTCCTGTTTGGACCCTGGTATACCTGTACATGGTCATCGTTATGGACATGATTTTTCCATTGGATCAACTGTGTCATTTGGGTGTGACCCAGGCTACAGACTAAATCATGAGGAACCTCTGCTTTGTGAGAAGAACCACTGGTGGAGCCATCCGCTTCCAACTTGTGATGGTATGAATAGTCACCTTTGCCCATATTGACAACACAGACAAATTCATTATATTTATCGAGCGAACAACAGTAAATCTTCCTACATGAACTCATTTTTTTTGGGGTGGGCGGGAGAGGCCTATCTGACTACATGTAGTGAACATTACAGGGACTCTACAAAAATCTTGCAATTATATCTGCAATCAGTGATGTAGGCAACCTAATTTGCCAGCTGAGAAAAAAAGATTTAGAAATCAATTTCATACCTCTTTCCATTCTGAATACTTATTAAGAAACAATATAAGAAACATTATTTTTTAATGATTTTCTTAATATGGTACTATGGTATTTTCCTCTGTGGGAATAACTATCATACTTGCAGATAGGAGTAATTAATAGTATGGTATAACATATCATGGTATACATCTTACAACTTCAGGATTTGAAAAACATGGACAGTGGCTCCAGAAACAGTTGTAATTTTTATTATCACCAAACATTATTGGAAGAACTCCAACCACATTGTTTTATTCCCTTGGTCCAGCCTTCAATACTTAGAAGGCAAAATAAGGATCCCACAAACTCAAAAAGCCTTCTTTAGGTTTAAAGAAGTATTTAAGTATTAAATTATTTTCTTATTTTTCATATTTTAAAAACGCAGTCTTCTATTTATAAGAAAGGTGTTCACTCCAAGTATGCCTATTCTTGCATACTTACAATTGAAAAGAAAATTGCAATTTTTCAATGGCATACTAAAAAAGATGCTGAAATAATCTTCTGCAAAGTTTAAAGTGTCTATTTTCACTCCTACGTACAGTCTCTACTTATGATGAGACTGTAAATGGATGACAGAACCTGGCTGAACTTGTTTTGATTTACAGGCTAAATAAGACCATACCTAAAAGGGGTAACAGTTCAAAAGGATATAAAAATGCAAGTAGAAAAATAGGAGCCACCTTTGGTGGGAAGGTAGCAGCATTCCGTTTGCTTTTGGTGTTTAGTCATGCTGGCCACATGACCACAGAGACATCTTCGGACAGTGCTGGCTCTTCGGCTTTGAAACGGACATGAGCACTGCCCCCTAGAGCCAGAAACAACTAGCACATATGTGTGAGGGGAACCATTAACTTTTAAAAAGGGATAATTTAAGGACTCAGCTGTAG